CTGATTGCAGTGAAAGGGAAAAACAAGTCTGTTTAAATCGACTGGAAGAGAACTATAAGATGAATAAAAGCACAAATGGAGGTGAGAAGGCAAAAGTCAGGAGGGGCATTGGACGATGACCAAAGTTCAATAAGAATTCAGATATTGATGAGACAGTAATATCGAAGCCACAGCAGGCATATTCAATATTAGAAATAACTAGGAGTTATGTGAGGGGCAGTCTTCCTCTGCTTCCTGGCTCCTCTTTTTAATATTCAATTTAATTTTAGAGAAAGAGAGATATTTGAGCCAGGGAGGGGCAGAAGGAAGAGAGGGAGAGAGAATCTTTTTTTTTTTTAATGTTTTATTTTTGAGAGAGAGAGAGAGTGATACAGTGTGAGCAGGGAGAGTCAGAGAGAGAGGGAGGCACAGAACCTGAAACAGGCTCCAAGCTCCGAGATGTCAGCACAGAGCCCGATGCGGGGCTCGAATCCACAAGTCGTGAGATCATGGCATGAGCCGAAGTCAGACGCTTAATCAACTGAGCCACCCAGGTGCCCCTAGGAGAGAGAGAATCTTAAGCAGGCTCCACACTCAGCTCAGAGGCGACATGGGGCTTGATCCCATGATCCTGGGATCATAGCTTGAGCCCAAACGAAGAGTTGGATGCTCAGCTGACTGAGCCCCAGGCTCCTTGCCCTCGCTCCTCCTTGCACTGCAGCCTAAATGTGGGCAGTGTGTCCAGTAGGGGAGGGACAGCTTTGTGGCCTCTTTACTGCAGCTTGGTGACGGGTGGGGACCTGGGAACCCTGATTCTAGGGCAGTGTCTGACTGTGGCCCTTACCTCCCTTGCTGGGCTGAGGAAAGTGGGCAGAAGGGGGTTGCGATAGAAGAGGAAGGAGAGAGGAAGACGGGGTGGAGGGTGTCAGATGATGTCACAGTCAGGAGCCCTTCTGACCCGCGGCCTCAGTTTCCTCACCCCCAAATGCAGGGCAGAGGGCCCCACGACCTTGGGGTTTTGTGTGCCCAGAGTCAGCTGTGTTTGTCCCTTCTTGCTGGGCCTGGGAAATGCCGTTAGCATACGCCCGCTCCCCCAGTTCGGTCTCCTCCACTGGAGCCGACGGAAAAGGGACTCTGGGGGTGGGCTGGTGGGTGGGGCCCAGCACCCAGGGGTTCCTGCTGGAGGGGGACCCAGTTCCCCGAGCGCCGCCCCTTTGCCCCGCCCTTGACAGGTGCCACTTCACTTAATCGCTCCCAACATCCATGTGAGGCTGGTGTAAATTTTCTCCCCGCTTTACAGATGGGGAAACCGGGGCTCAGAGAGGGGTGAGACGTCTCCCAGCAGGGTCACCCTGAGAGCAGAAGCCGCAGGGCTGGAATGGGCAGGTCCCCAAGTGCCCGAATTTTCTTCGCTGCTGTAGCCCCAGCACCCAGAGTAGCGCCCGGCGATCAGGAGACGCTCCGTGAGTGGTGGCTGCGTCGACCCCACAGGGGGCAACCGAGCCCGACGCGGGCTGGGACTCGCCTGAGGCCGCCTGCTTGGCATCGGTCTGGTTTCGCTGCCCGGCCAGCACTGCGCCCTCCGCCCGGTGCCCAGGGACTCTGCCCGGGCGCCGCGTGTCTGCACAGCAGGGACGGCCTGGCCGCACCGGGGACAGCACGGTGCCCGGGGGTCCGAGAGAGCTTGTCCCCGCCTTCCCTTGCCCGAGGGCACCTTCCACCAGCCCCACGTGCGTCCACGCCGGGCTCCACGCCGTAGAGTCCGTGTACATCGTTAACCTATAAACAGGCTGTTATTTTGCCAGCAAAAGCAGGTTAATTCGGGAGTAGCAGAGAATTACAATCTGGGGTAAACGCGCCACAGCAAAGCCACAGGCAAACCTGGAGAGCAAAGGAGGGGACCCCTCCTTCAGAGAGCAGGGAGGGGCTGCTGTAAACAGAAAGTTCATTGGAGCACTTTACTCCAAGTTCCTGGTGTCCTGGCTTCTCATTGGTTGAGCTGTGACCGTCTCTCATTGGCTGGGCTGTTGCTGGGGGCGGAGAAAGTCTTCCTTCTGCAGCGGTAGACATCTTCCAGGTGGGACTGTAAGGTACAGGCTCTTCCTGTTGGGGTCTGTGGTTGGCGGCCATGAGTCGTAGTGCCTGGGATACCCCCCTTCTGACCTCCCCACTTCATTTGATTTTATTTTTAAAGATTTTACTTTTTTTTTTTTTTTATTTCTAGGAGAGAGAGAGACAGCGTGAGCAGGGGAGGGTCAGAGAG